TGAATGGAGCACGGTGAGGTCTCCAGGCCGCTTTGTGTTAGGAGATAGAGCACTTTGTGAAGCATAAGATGTGGGATTTGGTTGTCTGTACTGTAGAAGGAGGAAGGAGTCTATCCATTTCCCCAGAATAGCAGGGAGATCCTGGCTTGCCAGTCAGCTGTGTAATTTTTGTGATACAGAAGGCTGAGGTATTTTGGGTGTGGAAATAAAGGGGAAGGAAAGGACAAGCTTGTGATTTTTAAGTGTTGATAGTTCTTGAAAAAGAAACTGCAGAGAAGATGAAATTGTAATAGAAAGTGGATATTTTCAATTAGTCAGAAGCAACGAAGAGGCTTTTTCCCTTTCAGGAAGAATTGGGGAATAAATTTTGCCATTGTTCTCTGGTCTTACTTGTAAGCATCTGTATGGAACCAACTGGCCTTACAGAATTTATAAGCTCCACCACATGCTTCGTCTCCAGATCATAATTTCCTTGAGTGCTATCTAGTGATCTGACAGTGCCTACAATCATTGCAGCCTGACCGCGTTCCTTCCCTCTTCCCCCACGCTTCTCATATGCACTTAGGTTGGGGATGGGCAGGGGAGTAGTAGAGGAAGGCTGCAGTCCCTGGTGAGGAGATCAGTTTGCTTTCTGGTCAGTCTTCCTGCTCTTCCAGATCAGTGGGATGGGCCAGAGTGAAGCCTTGAATCTCTTCTCCTCTGGGGTTTTCTTACCTTGATCTTAAGTATTTCTTGTTGTTTCATCTTTATGTTTGTTTAACAAATGAACTTGTATCAGATAGTGAAATGGTGGTTCCTCTTTTCATATAAAAGAACCCTTGCTGTTTCCAGCATCAACTAACCAGCTCCCTTTTGTTGGTCATGCCAGGACTTGCAACCCTTTCCCTGAGATAGATGAACTCCCTTGCCCCCTCCTTTGGGTACCAGATTGTGTGATTTCAGGCATGGTTTTGTTGTGGTGTGAAAAGAAGGTGTTAGCTGCTGAGTCCTTGTTTGTCAGCAGTACTGACAAACTCATGCTGGCATCGGAGAGGGTTGGGCAACCAATCGCAGCTGGAACAGTTATCGTTTCAGGGTCCCTGTGGGCTTCCGCTATCAGGTCACATCCCAAAATAACACTGGGCAGTATTTCAAGTGAAGAAACTCAGGCTTTGGGGCTGCAGCCAGCCTGGAGTGTGAGATTCTGTGTGAAATAGTTGGAATCCCTCCAGCGTTTTTGATCTGCATGGCAGATGAGCAATAAAATGCATAAAAAAACACATTGGAAACACGTGAGGAAATTCTCCAGACCCTGACGTTTCCTTCAAGTTGGCAGAGTTACTGCTGTCGAGCCTCACCTCCTGTCTCGGCTCCATTGGCTGTGCTCGCCGGGAGGAGGGAAGAGGAGAGCCCTTCTCCTGCTGCTGCCGTGTCTTTCCAGGTCTCCTCCTGATGCTCTGTGGGAGGTAAATAAAACCTCACTGGCCCTCTCCTCTTGGGCTTGATCCAGAACCCATTGACAGCAGCAGGTCTCCATTATTTCAATGAGATTTCCTTTTTTTTTTTTAAAGGCTTCCCTGCTACAGCTGTCCTTAAAACGCTCTGTAGAGAGATGGAGAGATTTCTTTTTCCCCTGGTTTGTTGTGCACTTGAGCAAATGTGAGGGTGTCCTTTAGGTTTAGTTAAAAAAAACCAACAACAACAACAAAAAAACCCAACCAAACAAAAAAAAAAACCTCAAAACCACTTCTGTGCCTTGATGGTTGGCATCCTGAGAAAATAACTTGATAGGTGGAAAACAGCTCCTTACTGATGAGCTCCTTGCACTTAGCGTTCCAGTCCCTGCTCCTCTCCTTCCCCGTGCAGGAGTCGCACTTCTGAGAAACCTAATAACAGACTCAGAAAATGTTGCTGTGCTGGCAGAGCATTTCTGTGCTGGGAAATGACTTTATTGTTGGAATTCATAAAACTTAGAGATCTTTAGAGGTGAAAGTCACTTAATGAGTTACTTGATTTTTATGGTCTTGTTTCAATTCATGTCCTAACATCCAAGAAAGGTTGACGTGTAATTCACTTTTAACTTACTCAGACTGATGATCTAAGTCTGATCCGCAGCCGTATAGCTAGAAGGCCTCTGTTTCCTCTATGTGAGGTCCGTGATGGTATGCTAGCAATGCAGAGGGGCCCTCGCTCTCATGTCTAGAGCAACCCTGTATTAACCTGCTTAATTAAAACTGAATGTTTTTAAATGACTTACAGTACTATAGGTTAAGCTTTGATGCATAGGCAAGGTCGAAGACATCAGCTTTCAAGATTGCTATCTAGTTACTTAGGAGTTAATTTTCAAACAGTTTTTAACGTTGCTTCATTTTATGTCTTGCAGATATTTTTGTGCCTGGCATTACTGAGTCACAGGCTCTCAGTCTGCCTGGTTCATGTATGAATATTGCTGACACCACGTAGCAGTGACCTCCTCAGGTCCTGGAGGCAAACCTCTCTTGCCTCTTGGAGAAGCATGTCACTTCTGAGAACATTTTACCTGGCACACTTGCTCTGTATCTGTCCTTTCATGCCAGTATTTTGTCTCAGGTGTACATTTATAATGTGTTTTTTTTTTCTTTTGAGCCTAAAATTCTCTCATCTCAGTAGCTCTAGGCTCTGGTCTGAAGGTTTAACTGCTCTGAAACGCCGTACCTGCACCAGCTCATGATGGTGGGGATTTTAAAGCTGCAAAGGGTTTTGGCCTCCAATTTCATTTTGGTGATGATGAAAACAGTGTTTGGATGCATTTAGTGATGAAGACTAGAAGTTCCTTCATGTATTTAAGGGAAATACCAGTATTTCCATCCAATTTTAGGTTCGACTGAATTGGCTTCTGGACATTCTGATCCCTTCATTGACTTAGGGGGCAGACTAGATGTGTATCTTGCAGCAGTGGCTGAAGTTAGATGCAGTGAGTCTCAGGGAGAGGAGTCTTTTGCTCTTGTTTGTGTTGGTTGATGCTTTTTAATGCAAAATGTTGGAAATACTGTCTCTTGACTCCCACTTCAGATGGTTTCTGCAGTAGGAATGTGAGGTTTGTCAAAGTTGGGCAGGGGAAAAAACCAAGCAGCTGCATAAAGGAGCAATGCTTTTGATGTTACAATAGGAAGGTAGTGAAACTTGCAAGAGCTTTTAGATGCTATTTTTAGGTTTTTTTGCAGTTTTTTAGCTTTCATTGAAATAAAACAAAGCTCTTTTTTTTTTTCCTCAGGAAGATAAATCTTCAGCAGTAAGCAAATATACCTCTGAGACTGTTGTGCAGGAAATGATCTCTCAAACAGAAGCAGTAATGGAAGGGGAGGAAGGACGTGCTATGCACTAAGTCATCCCACCAAGTGATTGGCATTTTCAGCTCAAATAAAGCATTTGCCAGCATTTCTTAGAAGCATTTTGATCAAATTCTACTGTTAAAATAGACACGATTGCCCTACTGCAGCAGATAACTGACTGTGGTGCAGCTGATGCCCAACTCTCCCCTCTGTCCCTCTGAATGTCACTGTCTGTCCAACAAGTGTGATGAAGTGCTTGGATATCTCCCGGGTCTTTTTATTCTTCTGTAACTCCACTTTTCCACTTCCTAGGATGTGGTGACGTACTGTTCTCCAGCTCAGATGATGGTGACGTGCTGTCAGAGCCTTTTCACACATCACCTGGCAGACAGGTGTTACAGAGCGATAGAGCTCTCGCTTGCTTCTGCAGGCTGATAAGTTTGCAGTATCTTGTGTCTAAGATCCTTCCACACTGCAAAGAGCTGGGAAAATGTTACCCAAACTGCTGCTAAACAAGGCATCATCCAGTCAGTGTAAATGAGACCAGGGTGTCCAAGTTATTTATCAGTTGGCTCGGCCTTTCTGCATGGTGCTTTAAATGAGGTTGGCTCTGTTCATGCTGGACAGGTGAATTCTGTGCGGAGGGAGTTGATCTGAAATGCCTTCAGGGCTTGGTCCCAGAACACTTCTGATCCAGGGTAGAAAGACTTTCAAAGGATAGGTGAAGTCTTGCTGCCACTTCACCTGCTGTCATCTTCTGAATCTCTGGCAGAGATTTTATCTAATTGCTGGAATAGTTAGAACTTCTCAGCTTTCAGTTCAGATGTGCCACCTCTTACTCTGTCGTGCACTGTTACTACACATTTACTCCAGGACAAGTTTGCAGAGTTGACGGCCTTTATTATCCAACAGCTGGTGCAGTTGTGTATGTTGAATCTGTACATCATTTTCTTGGAAGTATCCCCATTTTTTTGGACTTCCCAGCTGATTTTTGGTGCTGTTGCTTTGCAGTCGCAACTGTGGCAATTAGAGGTTTCAACTTGCTCGGGCTTTTCATGCTTTCCTTCTTCAGGGTGGATACGTGCAGTAGGAAGGGTATTTTCTAGCCTTGCCTTCAAGAAAAGCTGAATCTCACAGGCTGATACCATAACTGCTGATTTTTGCTATCTTTGAAGAAAAGGAAGTGGGAACCCTGAAGAGTATTTTATGGTTTTCTTTTAAAGTTTGTTTTTATCCATCTCAAGTGAGTAGTTTCCCAGCTCATATGAGGTTTATGAATTAATTATGGTGAGGCAGAAGTTTTCTGTCTTTCAGAGGCTGAGCCACATTTCTCTTCCAAGCCATGATCACATGGACTGTCTCCTTTATTTGCAGTTTTACGTGTATTGTTGATGCATTCTTTAATTTCTCACCTCTAAACTGAATTAAAAGAAGCAAATAGGGGAATCAGGTAGTTGTTTGGACTATCAGCAAGCACTCGGCAAACCAGCTGGGGAGCTCTTGGGTTCAGAGACAGGCAGCAGGATAAGACACATTTGGCAGTTAGTTCAGTCTGCAGCAGCCTTCGTTACTGACAATAACATGAACAGGGTTCATTCATTTCTATTTGTAGTATGCCTAAGGGAGAAATGCATTCTTTCTGAGTGCTGTGTGAGAGAACAGTCCCATGTCTTTTTATTTTTGCCTGATCTGTTTCTCTGTGTATTGCAGGACCTGTCTGGTTCAATAGATGATCTACCCATGGGTACAGAAGGAGCCCTGAGTCCTGGAGTAAGCACATCAGGGATTTCCAGCAGCCAAGGAGAGCAGAGTAACCCAGCTCAGTCTCCTTTCTCTCCACATACCTCTCCTCACCTGCCAGGCATCAGAGGACCCTCCCCATCCCCAGTTGGATCTCCAGCTAGTGTTGCTCAGTCCCGCTCTGGTCCACTTTCACCTGCTGCAGTACCAGGTAAGGCTACTCGGCACATGGTGATCTTTTGGTGGGATTGCCTCATGCAGCTGGAGAGGGAATTAAAATGGCCAGTGGGAGGAATTGGCCAGTGTCAGTACTATGTGGTTATTGAGGTCTTGTGATCTCATTTATTTGCTGTAAAATGTCTGTAACTTTGAAAGGATGCAGTAAGATGGGTGGGATGGCTGGTAAACCAGCAGTGTCATTTTGCTGGGTGAATGTGACTGATCTTGCTCTTGTTTTTATTCACTGTGGCTAACATACCCTTCTCTTGAAGTTGTTTGTAGTTTTGGTGTTTAATACTCTTGCATTGTGGGTTTTGTGGTGTGCAATTTTTGTGATTAACCACTCTCTTTTTTGTGGTGTAGGCAATCAGATGCCACCCCGACCGCCGAGCGGCCAGTCGGACAGTATCATGCATCCTTCCATGAACCAGTCAAGCATAGCGCAAGATCGAGGTGTGTGACATGAATTAAAAGGTTTAATTGTAAAGCCAGATGTGTAACTAAAAATCACCTGGCCTGATGGCATGGATTCTGTGTGAGATAGCATTTAAAAGCTGCCCCAGGTTTATAAGCTGCAAGTGTTTAGGCACCTTATGGTAAATTCAAGTGTTGCTGGTTGTTTAGCCTCTTAATGTTCCATCCAAACTAATAGTTTGGCTTGTAAGATGTTTTCTCTGGCTTTTGAAACACTTTCCTGTAAATGTTGCTTGTCCAAAGTCCATGACCTTAAGCTTCAAAATAAGGAGTGCTTGCAATGATATTGTGTGTCTTTTCCTCCTGAGTGAATAAGGTTAGTGTGAGGGGAGAGGTATGTAAAATTTCAGCTCTTGTGGCTGAAAGTTTATAGTTGTCACCCTGAGAAAACAAACAAGCAAACAAAAAACAAGAAGCCCCTAGGATTTGCAGAGTTGTACTGTCTACTCTTGTGACACTAAGGAGTTTGGGGTTTTTTTCTGGTTAAAACAGGAAATTGGATCTGTTATCTTAGCAGATACCACAGGCTACTTAATAGCAACCACTGTAAAATCTGTCCAGGCTGTTGCTGAAAGGATTTTGTTAGTGGGTCCTGGGGGGTTGCTGTTACCTAAGAACGTGTGTGTCCAGTGGCACCTCTGGATACTTTACACTAGTAATTGTCTGCTCTGCTCACTGGCTGACCAGGTTACATGCAGAGGAATCCTCAGATGCCCCAGTACAGCTCGCCCCAGCCCGGCTCAGCCTTATCTCCCCGTCAGTCTTCTGGAGGACAGATGCACGCTGGCATGGGGCCGTACCAGCAGAACTCCATGGGAAGCTACGGACCCCAGGGCGGGCAGTACGGACCTCAAGGTGAGGCACAGTCAGCTCCTCAAGGTGGGAACTGAGCTCAACAAATACAGAAGACCTCTCTCTATTGTAACATCTTGTCTTTGATAAACTGGTTTTATTTGTCCCCTCTTAATGTGTGGGTAATGCAAAACAGTAAGCTCCTTAGGAGCTGGAAGGAACTGTGCTTTGTTCATGTTGAGATTGATGAAATATGTTGCTTTCAGGGCTAGTGGTACCTCTTAAATGTAGAACCCTTCCTCCTTGTTTAAAAAGATGTAGGTTGTGCATCCAGTGTAATAGAGGAGAAGGGCGTGTTCTCTTTGGAGAAGAAAATTGAGTGTTGTGTGTTTTGGAAAGGGTTAAGTGAGTTTTTTACATCCTGTCCTGGACCATTTAGCTCCTTCTGCTCAGTTGAGGTTTGGGAGAGTTTCAGACAGCTTTTGAATCGATGTTGTTACTTGGCTGTGTCAAAACACATTTTTATGTGGCTTATATCCAAATACTTTGACTTTTTGTTGAGGTGTTAACACTCCCCCTCATCTCTGTTAGTGATCTTTAAATATTTGCTGATAGAAGATTTTTATGGTGATTCATAAACTAACTAGTTGAATGATGTTGTCTTCCCCTCTTTTTATCTCCTTAGGAGGTTATCCCAGGCAGCCAAACTACAATGCTATGTCAAATGCCAACTATCCCAGTCCAGGAATGGGAGGAAGCATGAACCCCATGGGAGCAGGGAGCCAGATGCACGGGCAGACTGGTGTGCCACCATACAGTGGGCTTCCTCCAGGGAGGATGAGCCATGCCACCATGGGGAACAGACCTTATGGACCTAACATGGCGAATATGCCACCTCAGGTGGGGACAGGGATGTGCCCCCCACCAGCTGGCATGAATCGCAAAGCACAAGAAGCGGCTGCTGCCGCCATGCATGCTGCTGCCAACTCCATCCAGAACAGGTACGGAGTGAGGTTTCCCCTGGTCTCTGTTCAAGTCCCTTCCCTCTGTCAGATCAAGATTTCAAAGCTGTGGATGGAATAACCCAAATTTGGGGTAATACTGAACATGCACTTCCTGAAGGTTTGCCCTTCTTGGAGATTTTTTTTCTTCAGTCTTAAGTGTTTAAAAAAGAAGAGCATAAAGCTGGGACAAGCAGTGTGTTGGAATATATCATTAATGCCATGCTTAGGGAAATTTCATAGGTGAAATCTATTTAATTCTGAGATCCCTTCAGTTTTTTTTCACTTTCTGGTTGTCTTTGTTACATGAGTGACTTTAAAGACGCGGCGTGTGTGGTAAAGCCAATAAATCTAGCAGACAGCCATGCAGCTGCATTTGCCTGAACCGAGGCATTACTGTCCAGTGTAATGAACTCCTTCCTTTTAGGGCCTTGCTGAGCAGCTGTGGGAAAGGCAGCTGGAATTCAGCACTGAACTTTGCAACTATTTTCTGTGGTTGTGTTTGGTTTTGTTGTTTTTTTTTTAATTGCAGATTTCAGAGTAGGTGTATGTGGCCTACCAGAATGCCTTGCAAGCCACGAACTTGCTTAGAAATTGAGTTCTCCTAGTGAAGCTGTCAGATATATTTGTTGTCTGACTGGGCATTTTGCTCTTTATCCTGACTTAAGGGCTGCTGCTGTAATCTACTGTCTGATGTTACCTATGACTGCCAAGAGGTCAAGTTCCCAAATGCCAATAAAGGCATCAAAGTCCGTCCCTTTGAGTTACAAGTCTGAGTGACAGTTGTGTATACATGTAAAATAATGTAACTTGTATGGATAACAAAAAGGAAAGAAAGAAAAATCATTAAATGTGCCTGGAGCACCACACTTCATCTATACAAATCATGTATTCTCACTTAACTGCACAGGGCTGAGGGCTGCAGTGTTTGCAGATCTGTTCTTCCCTATAAAAGCAACTCAACAACTGAAATGAAGTTCAGTTTGGGGATGTAGTAGAACAAGATTAAAGGTGAAAATGTTCAGAACTGAAGTCCCTCTTTCAAAATGGTTTGCGTCCCCTTTTCTTTTGAGAATGACACTTAGGTTCTAGGGTAGCTAAGCTTGAAAAGAGCACCTGATCTTTGGTCTTTTGCTGGAGAAAGTCACTTCTCCTCTTCCTTTGTAGAAGGTTTCTTTTAGCAAACCTGCTTCCTTAGAAGACAAGACCTTAATGCTTAGGATTTGGAGTAAGTGTCTGTTTGTTTCTTGCCTTCTCTAGGCCTCCTGGTTACCCCAACATGAACCAAGGAGGAATGATGGGCACTGGACCTCCTTATGGACAGGGAATTAACAGTATGGCTGGCATGATAAACCCCCAGGGCCCACCCTATCCCATGGGTGGAAACATGACTAACAACTCTGCAGGTAAGCCAGTGCTGACTGTTAGGGACTTCATTGATTTCCTTGTACTGGATGGAAAATCAGTGTTAAAGATTCTTTTAACTTCCTAGGGATGGCAGCAAGCCCCGAAATGATGGGTCTTGGGGATGTCAAATTAACACCTGCAACTAAAATGAACAACAAGGCAGATGGGACGCCAAAAGCAGAATCCAAGTCAAAGGTAAAATGTTTTGGGTTTTGTTTTTAATGACTCCCATCCTCTTCAGCACCCAGTGGAATAAAACCGTTGCATGTTAACTTGGATTGAACAGTGCATCTGTCTAGTAATGAGTGTGGTTCCTGAGAGAAACCTAATTTGATTTGTTCTCCTTACCCTGAACAGACTTGTCATTACTGTGGTTGTCCTTGTAGTGTGTGATCTGACTGCTACTCGTGACCATGGTTCTAACTCAGAGAGTGGGTTATCCTTTTCTGGGATATGTTACATTTTGGGGCGCAATTAAAGAAATAAGTGTCTCGAAAGAAGAGTGCATGTGTGCTTTAGAGTAGGCTCTGGCTATATTTGCAATAAACCACTAAATACCCACATCTGTTAGTAACAGTGTTCTTGAGGAGCCTGAGCTCTGTCGTCCACTGCAGAGATCCACTAGCCCTCAGCAGGGCCAGGAAAGGGACTTTTCTATCAGAATTCACACGTCCTCCCTGTTTATGACTCGGGAGTTCAAGAATTGATGCCTGGCACACTTTATTTATATGTTCTCGTTTCAATGGTGGGTTAGTCTTGCCTTAATTAACAGAGGAGAAGGTACCTGAACAGATGCACCTTTTGAGTCAGCTTTATCCAAGCCCCCAGATCCTATGAACAGCTAATTAGACTGTTGCTTGAATCAGAAGTGTAAAGGTAAAGACCATGTAGTTGAAGTGCTCAGTGTAAGGAGATTCAACATGAATTACACTTGATGTGTCCAGCCCTGGCTGTGCTTGAACTGTGGTTCCAAGAGGTTCTTCAGGATTTATCAGGAAAATTCAAACAATTGAAGGTTTTACTTCTGGGATTCATAAACTGTTCAGAAATGAAAGGAAGCATTTCCCAGTCCTTTGGGAGTAATCAATTTCACTTGCAAAACAATTTAGTATTAGGAATTATCACCTGCCACAGTGAAACTGCCAAAAGAAGTGTAAACAAACCTGAGTTTGTTTCTGCTGTAGGCTTGGAGCTAGTCAGTTATCACCTCCCAGCTGGGAGGTGGTACACTAAAGTGTTAGAGTTGTTTCACAAACAAACCTCTTACTAAGCCTGTTTTAAAGCCAGAAGAGGGAGGCAAGCAAGTTCTTCAGGGAGTGTTTTTCTTTGTATTACTGCTACCAGTTTCAAAAGAACAACCAAAAAAGCAGTTTCTGAGCCCATAGTCGCCTCTTTTGCTACTTGAAGGAAAAGAAATGTGAGTTTGATACCTGCACCACCAGCGGTCTGCAAGAAGATTCAGGAGATCTCTCACTTCTGCTCGTGTGTTCTGGCATCTGCCTTTCTAGTTGTGACAAACAAGGCCTTAAATGCTCTTGGGCTAGGAGGTGCCAGAAGCTATGAAAAAGGGTTGTTCTGTCCTCCTGGTCTGTGCTGTTCAAGGACTGTCTCCTCTGCTAGTGAATACACTCAGTCTTGGGTGTAGGGGTTCATCTAGCGATACATCAGATTTGAAGTTCACTTCTACTTTGGAAGTTCATTTTTAAATAAGCATTTGGAATGCCAAAATCATTTCTGCCTTTACTCCAAGTGTATGTGATCCAGGTGGTGAAAGATAAATTAACATGCTTGTGCACTACAGCAAGAGACTTGAGGGAAGCAAGGCAAGATGCAGGACCACAGGTTTTACCTCTAAATAGACACTAGGACAATTCAGTGAATCAGATGTGTAGGAACTGGTGTGTGATATTTGTACTTCATAGCTGTAAACTTGTACTCCAAATTCCTATGATACCTTTCCATACCAGTCTTCTCAGATCCTGATACACCGGTGATAGCAAACCAGTGTGGGAGCTTGTGTCCTATCTGGGTAGCAGGAGATTTCTGCACTTCTGTCAGTGAATAGGCAAGGGAAAAGAGATGGTTTTTGTGGGGGAACCCTCACACACATTCCTCAAACAGGTGCCTCTAATCTTTATTTTTCTTTGAGGCATGTTTATTTTTATTCCTTTGCAGTGTTCAGTGTCAGTTTAACCTGGCATCTACCACTTGGGTGAGAGAAGAGACTAACCAGAGGCCAGTATTCACTGTGGCAAAATGCAGTAGCCATGAGGAACCTCATTTACAGTTCAATTAGGTGTTTTCTAATATATTTAGCAAAGGAGCCCACAAAGCATGTCTCCAAGAGACAGCTCAGTACATATTCTGTGAATTCCCTGAGTAGCAGCTGGTTTTGTGATACCTTTGTCAAATAATACTTGCCTGATGTTGATCTGAGACAAGTGTAGGTCTGATATAAAACTGTTCTCAGTGTAACAGCAGAACTTTGAACTCTTATCTGCTTTTTTTGAAACCATCTTGGATGTGAACTAGCTGCTGTTGTGCTGCTCAGTCCTGATATGTCTTTCCTTCTCCTAGAAGTCCAGTTCCTCTACTACAACCAATGAGAAGATCACCAAACTGTATGAGCTGGGTGGTGAGCCTGAGAGGAAGATCTGGGTAGATCGTTACCTGGCCTTTACTGAAGAGAAGGCCATGGGCATGACAAATCTCCCAGCAGTAGGCAGGAAACCCTTGGACCTTTACCGGCTCTACATCTCAGTGAAGGAGATTGGAGGATTGACTCAGGTGAGTGTCCAGCAGCCAGCGTGGTGACTGGGTGTTTGTATTCAGAGCTGCCCACTGTCCAGCAGTCACAAGCCAATGGGCAACACGATTCAAAGTTAGCTTTGTAGCTAAATGTAAGCCAGGACTTTCCATTTAGCTGCATTTCTTTTTTTGGATGTTTGTTTGTATTTTTTTTTTTCCAATGCTGGTTTTAAAACCCAGCATCCTTTAAGTGAGCCCAATGTCTGCTCTTCCATTGCCTGGTTGAGAAGAGTCTGTGGTGAGATTCGATTCAAGTGCTTTTTTCCCTGCTTTGTCCAGTGCAAAGATTGGTGACACTGTCTTTGTCTTTGCATCTGGCTGTCAACTGACCTCATGACTAATTTGATTTGCAATCTGTCCGTGTTCAAAAAGTTTCCTCTAGGTGAGGAAGAGTGTTTATTGGTTTTTGGGTTTGAACACAACTGTCTCTGCTCTGCTTAGCCCATGTTGCATCCTTTGTTTTAGCTGGGAAGCATTGATTTCTCCCCAGAAAATTTCTTGGAGGAGAAGCAGCTGAGATTTTGAGTTTAGAGCCTCTTGTTTGGTTGTGCAGGTCAACAAAAACAAGAAATGGCGCGAGTTAGCCACAAATCTCAATGTGGGCACGTCCAGCAGTGCAGCTAGCTCTTTGAAGAAGCAGTACATCCAGTGTCTCTATGCCTTTGAGTGCAAGATTGAGCGAGGTGAAGACCCCCCTCCAGATATCTTTGCTGCTGCTGATTCAAAGAAGTCTCAGACTAAGATACAGCCTCCGTCTCCAGGTGAGTGTAGACACTGGTTTAAGGTGTGCACTGAATGTTTGAACCAGAGGATCTCTGGCACTGTACACCCAACTCCACCTGCTGTGGGCCAGACCGATTCCAAACTTCACAAAGCCCTCGTGTCTGTTTCTAATTAGATGGACCATGGTTGTGTAGATTAAATATTTTTGTAATGTGGGAGTGAATGATACTGGGAATAAGTCAACTCTCTTGGGATAGTTCAGTTTTTGTGTGTCCCACCTCTGCACTGAGTTTAACAAAGGGGAAAAGGTGAAAATATGTACATACGTACGTAGATACATGCACCTCTGTGCCTACTGGTATGTCAGTGTTTTATGAGAATCTGGTTTTGAGAGAATTCTGGAGTTACCCCTTCAAGGTGATCTCTCTGTGTTCTAACAGCAGCCCTTGTTGCTACTGCTCAGCTTTGGGAACTTGCTAGAAAAGTTGTGCTTGTTATGACTGTGCAAGTGCTACCTTCTGGGAGTAAATACTTGATGTGGGTGTGCACTCAACTTCCTCATGAATTACTTCTTTCTGTCTTCAGTAGAAGACAGTGAGGACTTTCTGAGGCTTTGTGCCCAGAGAGATTCATAGCCTGCTACAAGTTGGACGCTGCAGAATTCAAGCTCTTTAAAATGAACTTTTGCTGTTGTTTAGAATCACAGAATCCCAGACTGGTTTGGGTTGGAAGGAACCTGAAAGCTCATCCAGTTCCAACCCCCCTGCCAGCAGCAGAGACACCTTCCACTAGACCAGGTTGCTCAAAGCCTCATCCAACCTGGCCTTCAACACTTCCAGGGAGGGGGCATCCACAACTTCCTTGGGCAACCTGGGCCAGTGTCTGACCACCCTCACAGTGAAGAATTTCTCCCTAATATCTAATCTAAACCTCCCCTCTTCCAGTTTAAACCCATTTCCCCTTGTTCTATCGCTACCTGCCTTTGTAAAAAGTCACTCCCCATGTAAAAGGTCCCTCCCCAGAATTGATGGGGTGCTCTGGTTTCTGAATATTTAACCATAATGTTCAATTCAGGGTTTTAAAAAAAAAAAAAGGGAGGGGGGGGGGAACATCCAGGCTTGCAGTGCACGCTGTACTTTTCAGTCTTTGGAAAGTCTGGTTGTTTCGGTCTCATTTGCATTGAGTTCGTTGCTTGAATTGCTGCTGAACTTGCCAACCCTTTAAGCCTCAGTTTTCCAGTTTGTCTCATAAGTAAAAACCTTCAGATGCTTTTTCTGGTCAGGAGCCTGTTCATGTAGGTGAAATAAAAACTTTGTCTGCTTTGAAGTTCCTGTAACGTTTGCAAAAAATGCCTTTTTGGTTCTGAAACCTGGCACCATCTTTGTCTAGCTCCTGAGGAGTGGAATAATGAACCCTTTTTTGATTGTACTGCAGTTGTTTCAGCCCTGCTAAGCCCTTGGTCGACAGTGTGCTTGTCCAGATATTTTGTAGGCAACAAAATTTATCTGTCCTCTGGTTACAGTGTTGTTTTTTTAAAGAACAAATCGTGTCTTTTCACTAGTCCGGAAACCTGTCTCAGTGTAGCTTCAACCTTGGTGTGTTCTGTAAGATAAAGCAACTTTTGTGTCATTAGACTAAACTTCTGTCTAAAGTGGTGTCTGAGTTCCACTTAAACTAGACCACAAATCCATCCACTTTTCTTTCAGCACATGAGCAGTAAGAATTTGCAGTGCTGCTGTCCCAAACTCTGCACCTTCCTGCAGCTCTGTTGACTTAGTCCACAGGTTTGATTCCTGCTACGAGAGGACTGTGCTATATTTCCTATTTAAACTGTTCTCCCCACTTGTCTTGCTCCACACTCATGGTTGGTTGCTCTCATCCTTTAGGTTGTAGCACTCAGCATGTTCATGTTTCTCTTTCACTTTCCTCTTCCTCTCTCTTGCTCCTCTGGATCGGCAGGAACTTGAGAGTGTAGGACACAACACAAACAGCTTTTTCAACCTCAGCTTCAGACTTAGGAGCCTTAGAGGATCATTGTCTCTCCATGGGCACTACTGATCTGGGGGGTGAAGCAGCATCCTCTGGACCTGCACACACATGTGCCTCTCTCCCAGTGAATCATCCCTACTGGGGCATAATTTCCTTGTTTGAAAGCCGCGTGGACAACAGTGGGGCATTTTGAAGTCATCATTGGGATGAAGGGCTCTGTCATCCCACACGGATACACGTGCTTTGCTCTCCTTGCAGACTTAAAAACCTGGCTTACACTTAATTTCAGCCTATTGTGTCAAATGAACTTGTGCATAACTTTGTGGATGATGAGGATGCACTGCATGATTCTCCGTTAACCGCTTCTTGAGGCTGCAGAGCATCTAAAGGCTTTGCAGGACAATCATCTAGGTAGAGCTCTTGGTGCTGGAGCTGTTTTCCATGCAGTGTACATTCATAACCCTCAAAAACCAAAACTGTTTCCAGAAAGGCTTTGGCTGGAGTGGAGCAGGTATGGCCTCATGGGCGCTCGGCACGGGTTTCCTGCAAACCTTCTTGGGTTCCTGCTCACAAACTGCAGCGTGTCCCTGGGGAGGCGTAATCAGTCTGCCGTTGGGTTTTAATTCCCAGAGCATGGAACTGGCCTGGCTCCAACTGTGTGTAAATTTGTGAGTGGGAAGGACGGCAGGGGGTGGGGACAAACACCAAATGGCAGCGACGCAGGGAATGTCTCGAGGCCTCTTCCT